TAGGGAACTTTACACACAATTCTTATGTATTTATTTATCTAAACTTTTATATTTACATTTTTAACACTTGGATGTCATAAACATATGCATAAAGAGGTGTATTTCACTTTTAATAAGTAAGCAACGGTGGTATGTTTTATGTAATGTTAAAAATTTGGATGTTATGTTTGTAAATATGGAAGTTTAGTTGTGGTTGGATATGTAAAAACAAAAGAACTGTGGGGTATGCATGTAAATACTTCCTTAATTTATATCAACAATGTAATGAAAAGAACATATATTGCAGGAAATGATGAAATACCTCAATGGGATTTAGTGGCAAGAGCTCATAGCCGTTATCTGGTTCATAAGCTATTGCTGCATCTCTTAGCTTTGATAGTATATCAGAATAGTTTTCTGCAGAGACGACAATCTTGTAATAGCTGTAGAAATAATTACAGGGGTGAGAGTGTTTGCAGAAGAGGGTAAAAATGTAATGAAAAATTTCAAAGTAATTAAGAGCATATTTAGGATCAAATTTATTTTTATTTTTTGCTTTTGGTAAACATGTTTGTTTGATGTATTTTTTGCATGTTTTTTACTTTTTGTTTGGGAAATTTACATACATACCACACAAATCTTATATATTTACATATCTAACATCTAAACTTTCATATTTATATACATACATGCAAATCTTTTACATCATATAAAAAAATACCATATCACTCAAAATCCCAATTTCTATGTATTCACATATCTAACACCTAAACTTAAGTTTTCACATTTAAACCACCCAAATCTTCAATATCACATAAAAGATACCACCATTTTAACTTTTAAAATGTGAAATACACCTTTTCATGCATAGGTAGGGTATGTATGTAAAAATTGAAGTTTAGGTGTGAGATATGTAAATTCATAAGAATTGAGTGTTATGTGTTATGTATCTAAATCTTCAAAGATTTTAAATAAACATGTGAAATAAAGTACCATTGATAGTTTTATCAAATGAATTTACTCATGCTAATTAACAAATAAAACGATTATTTATGTAAATTATAATTTGTTAAGCCAACACCATATAGTTGGGATAAGGCTATGATAATAATAAAATTGTGTCCTGTTAAAGTATAACATATAGGAGCATTTACATATCACACAATTCTTATGTATTTACCTATCTAACATCTAAACATTCGTATTTACACGCATAGCACATCACTATCTGTTTAAAAGTGAAATAAACCTCTCATGCATAAATTAATGACATCAAACTTTGGGAGTCAGATATGTAAATACATAAGAATTATGTGATATGCATGTAAGATTTCCTAAGAGCTAAGTAAACATGATGGAAGAATAGTTTGAGTTGTTGTGGACCTGTCTGAATTATATTCTGAATCATCTTCCTCATCAAAATTTGGTTCGATGACATCTTCAGCTCCTGCATCTAAAGCAATAGCAAGAACCTGGTCTTTTTCGTTATCGTTAACCTTTACGTTAACGACTCGAACTCGCCTAAACTTGAATAGAATAGATCCTGGGTCAGCGAGCTTCGCTCCACTGTCCTTTACCACACCTCGAACATCAGCCACCGAACGTGTTATTTTGTCCGTTAAAACCTCAACCACCATGCCAACACCACCAAAGCCATATACCTGAACAAAGAGTTAAAATATAAGGACCATTTATACCACACAATTCTTATGTATTTACATACTCAGACCGAAGCTTTAATGTTTGGGGCATTTACATACATAGCACAAAATTCTTATGTATTTGCACATCTCAAACATAAGCTTTCATATTTATGAACATAGCACTCAAATTTTTAATATCACGTCAAAACTAACACTTCTAGCCCTTAAAGCACCAAAGAGCTCCGCATGTAAATATGGAAGTTTTGGAACGAGATATGTAAATACATAAGAATTGTATGCTACATATGTAAATTCCCTTAATATTTATATTCATAACACTCAAATCTTTAACATCGCATCAAAAATATCACTTTTACTAACATTTTAAAAGCCAAATATTCCTTTTAATGCACAGATTCATAGAACCAAGATGTTATAAATATAAATATCAAACATTAAATGTTAGATATATAAATCCATAAGAACTATTGTGGTATGTATGTAAAGTTCTCAAAATATAATTATCATAAATTTTGAACTGCCATATAACATGTTAAACAATCAAACCAAATCTAGATATCCACCTCATAAAATTTCTCAATAAATGCTTCCTGACCCTTTTCAGAAGCCCTTTTTATGTTCCTCTCAACTATTTCTTTGGGTACTTCAAGTTCTCTGGCTTTCTCTAAAACAGCAGCAAGAACAGTGTTGGAAGTGTTCGAAGATGGATTTGGACCACCCTTTTTTATCCTGCGTGGTATGACAAAAGATTATATAAATAAATAAATAAATTATTTGCATGATAAGCTTTTCTGCAATTATTGTTTTCAGAACTATATTATCTAGAAATTACATAAGATATAGAAAATATAACCATTCAACAACAATAAAAAAAAAGAAATTTATATATGTAAGCATGCAATTCTTATGTATTTATATATTTCACGCCTCAACTTTCATATTTACATACATAGCACTGTCCGTGTTTTAAATCTATGCATGAAAAGGTGTATTTCAGTTCAGTTTTAAGAAGTGGTAATAGTGCTATTTTTGATATGATGTTAAAAATTTGAGGATTACGTGTGAAAATATAAAAGTTTAGGAGTGATATGTATAAACATAAAAAAATTGTGTTTTGTGTATGTAATTGCCCCCCCCAAAAAAATGTTAATAGCCTAAAGTACTCGATGTACAAAGTAACTTAAAAGATATAAATTTAATTTTAGGGACTATGAAAGTAAGAAGAATTACAAATCAACTGACATATCAGAAGATGAAGGCATTGTAAGCTAGCCATGAAGTAAAGAATAAGTTCTTTTAACATAACAATTATGTTTGAAAGTGATAAATATATTGGTAAGCTTTCAACTTGCTGAATGATCATAGGAAAAAATTTCACCGCAAACCTAATAGCTCCTAAAGTAATAAGATGAATGTCAGAACGTACAAAAATGGTAAATTCATTATGCGTTAAGTGAAAATCAAAAGATGGTTTTAAGATGGGATAGCTTAAAGGAAAGTTTACATATGTAGCAGAGAATTCTTATGTACTTGCATATCTCACACATCATGATGTGGGGCGTCCCGAGTGCGACGCGGGAGCAGAGTGAACGCTCTACCCGTTACCTAGAGCGAATCGGTCCAGGGTTTTTTTTCCATCCGTGAAATTCAGCCAGCCCTTCCTTTTGCGTTTGCCGCCTATTTGAAATAATAGGGCCACTCCTTAGTTACCCTAGGGCTATAAGTATAGTGTTTCATATTTTAGGTCAGTTTTTGTTATGCTTTTGTTCGGGACAGCCATCGGCATCCTTATTTCCCCTTCTAAGGTTGTATTCAACAGTGAGTGGTGCTCTGACTGCCTCTCGGTCAAAGGTGGTGATTAACTGCCAAGTGTCGAGTGGTGCTCCGGCTATATATTGCTCCTGAGTTAGTGATTTAACCTTCTCACCCTTTGCATCCCTCCCACTTCATTTCCACACATTCCTCTTCGTTCTAGGTTGCACGGACAACAGCCCTTTTGCTTTCCTTCATGCAATTCCTTGCTATTCAGCCATCCTCCACGTTGTCGCACCGTCAAGACAACCTCCTCTTGTTGTCCCAAAGTCCACACATTCCCTATCACTGTCGCCACCATTCCCCCTCCCTATTGTTGAACTGAACAGCCACCATTCCCGGCTGTTTTGTTGTTATTTCAGCTGCCAGAACCATTTCCCGTGCCGCCTTACTGTTGTCTAGCCCCTCATCCTTGCCACCGCCGCCCAGAATAACCTAACTTTTCGTAGCTCAAGCAGTTTCTCACCTTCCCTTTGCTGCCACAATTGTAACCGTCTATTGGTTTTTTCAATAATATGTCTGCATTTATTCTTATTTGGGTTAATTCCGGTATCATTTGATATCAAAGCTAACATAACCCTAGTCCTATCATAGGGTTATCCAAATCCACCAGTATCCAGCCCAATCTCCACTCCAAACCCTGATTTTTCAAATCAATGGCAATAAAATTTAAAAAAATAAAAAGCTCAAATAAAATTAAAAAAATTCTTTTCCACCTAGCATCACACCCATACACCCTAATCATAATACCGAGGAGGCAAGTGTTGCATGACGATCAAAAGTTTATTTTTGATGAGAAAGAAATGTCACCGTCCAGCGTGGTAGTGAGATTTGACGTGAAGAGAGAGAAGAACACGTGAATCCCTTCCGTAGGGATGGTTCCAAAGGAGAAGAAGACAAGCCACAATGCTTTTGAATACAGTATCAAAGGAAACCGAGAGATGAAGTGTCTATTGACGGATATAGAGATGAAGTGCCTATTGGAGGATTTAGAAACTCGGGATTGAAAATGAACGGGCTAGATTTCGAGGGTAAAATGAATCAGGACAACTTCATAAAGTGGCTTCATATCGTTGAGAGGGTTTAGGGTTTAGTTGTAGATGTCAATAGGAGCATACCTAAGGCAATTGAAAAATATGATAAGGTAAATGATAGAGCTACACAAAGTAAGAAGAAGTTTGAAAAAAGTAGCAACCCAAATACAGTATCAGCCGTAAAATGTTTAAGATGTCATGGTTTTGAACACATTGTTTCCAGTTACCCAACAAGGCAAGTTATGTCCTTCACCTAGCAGTGTGCAATGGAGGAAGTAAACGAATAAGAGACAGCTGAAAAATGGGGTGAGGAGTACCATCTTCGACTGGATGCAAGTGAGATGTTTGTGGTTATACAAATTCTCCAAATTGAGGCTACGAGGGGCCGCAATGGCTTCGCCGCAATATATTCTACACATGTTGCAATGTGAAAGGAATGTATGTAGTCTCATCATTGATGGAGGGAACATCAAGAACATGGTGTTTGTGCAAATGGTGGACAAATTGAGTTTCACGACTCAAAGACAATCCCAGTCGTATTTACTGACGTGGTTGAAGAAGGAGAACAGGGTTGGAGTTTTCAATTGGGAACCAGCTACAGGATCAGCTATGGTGCGCGTGGTACCGGTGTATGTATGTCAGTTTTTTGTTGAGGAGATGGCAGCTTGATCGTAGGACTAAGCATGACAGGTTCAAAAACATCCACTCCTTCACCAAAGCTGGCAAGCACATAGTCATTCTACACTCTGCGTAGCCTGAGATTACAGATGCCCTTGCCAACAGAGAAGCTCCGGTAGGATCAGTCTTGGTGATGGCATAAGATAAAATGACTAAAAAGCATGTCTCAACACAGGGCAACCATTACAAAGAGATTTTTAGGACATTATGTTCGATAGCTTACCACTGTGACTGCCACAGTTAGGGGGTGTTTAACTTGTCCTCACTTTAGTTAACCTTGGGTTACTTTGGAAGGATACAACAAAATATACGTAACATAAAGTCTTAGATTAGTTCAATAGTATACCAATAGAAGGCTCGACTTATATGGATGTATGCTCGCAAGTGGAGAATACACCTCAGGTGTTTTGAGGGACAGTGTGGTCACAATTGAGATCGAGGTGTTCCTCGGGGCCCCAGCCAAAGATCCTTAAAACCTCGCAAGGTTACTACAGTTGTCTCACCTTTGTGTTGACAGAAGCTTTGACGAATGAGGTCGAAACGGTCACAACCACATGAGACTGATACGGAGCATCCTGCGTGTGTCGTGGGAGTGGAGCAACCGTTATGCCTGCTATCTAGAGAGAACTAGTTCGGGGTTTTCCCATCCATGAGAGTCAGCAAACCCTTCCTTTGGGTTTGCCATCACTTTGCAACAGTGGGGTCAACTAGGGGCAACTCCTTAGTTACCCCCTTATGGCTGTAAGTATGATGGTTTCATACTTTATTTCAATTTTTGTCGTGGTTCTGTTCAAGAAAGTTGTCAGCATCCTTGGTCCCCTTCTAGGGTTGTATCCAAGGGTGAGTGGTGCTTAAACTGAATTTTGTTTCAAGTCGGTGATTAGCTTCCAAGGGTAGAGTGGTGCTCTGATCGTATCTTGCTCTTGAGTTGGTGATTTATCCTTCTTCAACTCCTCCATATCCCTCTTTTTTGTTGCAAATCATTCCTACTCGCTGCAGACCACCCCAACAGCAGCCCTTCTGTTGGTATTCCTGTAGTTCCTCGTTGTTCAGCCACCCTCCATGCTTTTGCATACCTGGAACAACCCTCCCTTTGCTATCCTGGAACCCCACACATTCCCTGTTGTTGTCACTGCTCCAAACAACCATTCTTAATTGTTTTGTTGATGCTCCAGCAGCCCAAAACCATTCCCCTGCCGCCTTACTGTTGCCCAGCCCCTCTTCCTTGCCGCCTTACTGTTGCCCAGCCCCTCTTCCTTGCCGCCACAACCTATAACATTCCACCTTCTCGCTTTTCCAACAGTTTCCCACCTTTCCTTTGTTGTCACCATCGCACCCTTGCTGTGACCCAGCCATTCACCCTTCCAAACCTCCAACCAACCACCTCCCATGTGGGATAAAAACCTAGTTGAGTGTTGTGGATATTGTTTTTCCCTTTACTTTTGTTGGTTGAAATTGTCTATTAGTTTTTTCATTAATAATATTTGTTTGTTTAATGTTATTTGGGTTAACTCTGGTATCACCTAAAGTTTCATATTTCCATACATAGCACTACAGTGTGCTAAACCTATGCATGAAAAAGTTGTATTTCACTTTGAAAAAATGACATTTGTGTTATTTTTTATGTGACATTAAAGATTTGAGTGATATATGTGTAAATATGAAAGTCTAAGTGTGTGATAAGCAAATACATAAGAATTGTGTGCTGTGTATGTAAATGCCCCCGGTTTAAATTAAATAAGAAAAAGAAAACTCATGCAAAGTGATCAATCTAAACCACCGCATTGAATTACAAATCATTCACTTATGGGACGGTTAACATGCAAAATTTAACATATATTCTAACAAATCATCTGAAAATGTTTGCAAGTATTCAAATTCAACATTTCTTATGATTTTCTTTTCAGTGGACTTACGCAGAGACAATTTCTTTTCCAATTCTACTGTTTCTTTTCATCTTCTTCAAATTCTGAGCATCCTGCAAATTGAGGTACATTCACCACAATAAAAATGTGCAAACCCATCAAAAACAGATTTTTATGTCTTAAAACAACCCAACACTCTTGAGGACAAGCAGCTCTCCGAGGATTAAGCTATTAAAATACAACTAAAATCAGATAAAATAGAGCTTGACGAAATACGAAACCTAAAAACCTAAACAGCAGCACCTTTCTCCCAGCGATCTTGCAAGAACGCCTTCCCATACAAAGAGGGGAAGTTGTCCATATCCTCCTCTTTCTCTGAGCTCCGCCTACTGTGGGCGAAAATCTAGAAGGCGAGATTCCTCGAAGAAAACCTAGCATCAGAAACATGGTGCCGTGGTAAGCAGATGAGATGGTTAATTAGAACAACAGAGTTGGTGCAGGAACAGTAGACGTACTGTGCTTAGTATAGGGTTTCTGAAGCGAGATTAAGGAGAAGATACCGAGTGAAGGAGAGGCTTTTTGGAAAACTGATCCTAGAATTCTTGCTGCAGAAGCCATTGCTCTTTATTGCGAATTTATAGTGTATGTGGAAATGCCCCAATAAGAATCTGCGAAGGCTGCACGGCCATCACGCACACTCTGGAATTGGATCAGTCCCGAACTCTTGGCCAATGTATAAATTTAAGCTTAAAATAATAATAGTGTTTTTTTTCTTTATGTGATGTAAATACACAACATTTGTGTCTTGTGTATGTAAATGCCCCTTTATTTTGAGAAATTTACATAAATAACTTACAATTCTCATGCATTTACATTTCTCACGCCTAAACTTTCATGTTTATATACATAGCACCATGAAGATGATTGGGTCGTGAGATTAACATTCAAGTGGTGTCAAGCGGCAGTAATCGGTAACTAGGGAATCTCGGTGAAAGACCGAGCAAAAATATATTGGTGGCTTTAGAGGGCATAAATCAATGCCTCATCCTATTATGTATCAAAAGTTTCACTTAGTAGAAAAATTAACAGTGTCGCCTTGGATCGATAGGATCTGATAGGTGATTTCACCAGTCTTAAGTCCCATGTTGGACACTTCTAATAGCCTAAAGGTCATAGGTGTGAGATTGCGCTGGTTCGCCGTAAAGAGTGATTACCTCTCCATCACATTGAAAATTCACATCCACGTGGTAGGTTGAGGTGATGGTCTTGAAAGAGTTGAGTGGGGGATGTCCAAATATAGTTCTCTTGGTGGATGGAGAGTCGACCACCTAAATAACCGTCATATTAGTGAACTAATCGTCGTTTTCTCCCCAAATGACCGGTATGGCGATGGTTCTCAAAGTTTCCTTCATTTCAATAGAAAATTCATATAAAATTCATATAGTTGATTGATTGATATCAGTCGTTCATTATTGAGTCTCATTTTGTTGAACATTGACTAGAACAAAATGTTTACAGAGATGTCAATATCGATAAGAGTGTCGTTGATCCAGTTGTTGACGATTAGTGTTGTAATGGTGACAACATTGTTGCAGGGGGTTACCCATATGGGACAAATCTTTATTGGTGAAGGCTATAAGTAGATGAGAGCTGTGTTTAGGCATAAAGGAGGCTACACATAGTTTTCTCGACCAAATACTCAAACTAACTTAGTGGGATAAGCCTCCACCTGCTCTAAAGATGCCAGGAACTATCTCTGCAATGTAGAATCCATGGGTTCAAATTGGCTTGACTGATATTTCCTCCACTAGAGTCTTCTATTGCAGTTGGGTCATTGCTCTGGTGCCACAAACTTCTTTAATTTTTTGGCCTTGATTAGCTCTTCGATCAGGCCTCGAATATCTCGTCTGTGTCATGCCCGTGGACTCAATGGTAGGCAAAATACTTTGTCAGATCCTAAAGATACTTTCTGACATTCATATGTGGTTCTTTTTTTAATCAATTTTTATTATGTGTGGCATTCACTATCTCAATCATTGAAACTCTCATAGAAGTTGTTTTGAGTGAATTCTGGTTAGACAATGAGCATTTGTCATATCGAGTCGGTAGCTAGTCATGATATCTGGCCTAATTCCCTCGACGTTGCTCTATGTCAGTCGCTCTATGAGTCTCGGGGCAACCAAGTATCTTCATGTTGAAGACGGGCATTATGTCTCGAATTATGTCTAGGTCTCCATCCTTCTTTTTTGGCATCACTTTTTTTCCAGTTGATAGGTGGAGGATTCTACTCGGGATAAAGTGGGGTTGGATATTTATTTCTCGGTCGATATGTGGCTGCATACCAACTCCAACAACCCAACTAGCCTCTTCGACCAATACAGGCCTAGCGTGTATCATTAATGTTCTTCCTTCAACGTTTGAGCTAGGGCGTCATGCGTGACCACGAGTTCCAGGTCCTGTACTTCCAACTTCTCCTTTTGAAAGCGTGTAATGAATAAGTGAACGCTCTCGCTCTATTTCTGGTGGATCTGCATGAGGGCTTGCAAATTTTTATAAGGCTTTTGGGCGCCGACAGACTGTACCACAAAAATTCGCTTGAAATCAACGAATAATGTGATTACTCAAGTCAATAATCCCTTGAAACACATGAGGGCCGACTCCCACAAAATGGTGAAGATAGTTAATACTTTTGTGTGTCAGTGATTCTTAATAGGTGTGCAGTCAACTCAAATGAGGCTAAGTGGTTAGTATGTTCGGTCTGATCCCTATAAAACTCCATTTTCAGGACCTCGAATAGCTATAGAGGCTCAAACTTAAAGATTTGTTGAGAGAACATATTCTCGGGTCGTCAGAGAGCCTCAATACACCCAAACCGTTGCTAGTTAATTGGGACCAACCCAACACAATTGAAGCACATGAATTCTTCTTCTCTTTCCATTGTTGGGGGGACTTTTGACGTTGGGCACCGTCCCTTCATCTCGAGGGTGTTGCTCCCTTCCTCGGGTTAGCACATTTCAGATGACCTCCAACATCCGATCATTCAACTTTTGTATATGTTGAGCTACAAACACTATGATGCATTACATATTATCAGAGTCTATGTTGTGGGTTTTTTTCATGTGCTACTCATTTTCTTGTTTATGAAATTTTTCACGTTCATCACATCTATTAGGTTGAATCTTGATTTATTGTGAACCATAACAAAAGAATAAAGTGTAAATAAGAAGAGAGAGAGACGAATACATTGAGAAGAGTGAACATTAATGTATATTAGTTTTTGTGTGTTTATTCACAAATGATCTTCGTATTTATATGGAAGGCAGTAAAATGATGATATTACATTGTTGCCCCTGCTCTATAGGGTTTGTACTACGATATTTTTTTGTATTTTACATGTATAAGCTTGTAGTCTGACTGCTCTTTCACTTGGCTAACTTAACTTAAGTGGCTTCGAGTCGATATAATCAAGTCGGTCGATGGAGCTTGGTCGACAGAGCTTATTCGGCATAAGTCAATTGGTTGATCTAGTATGGTTGTCAATTATTGATAATTGGTAGGAGATCTTTGGATGTCTCCACGATGGTTGGATATATTAAGGAACTTGATCATACCGCATATTGGCTTTCCCATCAAGGTATGTTAGGATGCCTCTGTCTCATTTTTGGCTGAGTAATTTAGGTTTGGACCATATGAGTGTCTTCTTGTCCACTTGATGGTTTGATAGGCTTTGATCTTGTTGGCTTGGCTCAGACAACTTCACTTGGTCTGCTAGGCAAGCTTCATAACCTTTTATCAATAGGTCATCCTTGGTCGTACTCTTTTCTTCAAGACCATAAGACCTCATAAGACCACTTTCTATGTTGCACGGACACTCTTATTTACGGAGCCATGTAATGTCGGACCCTTGTCAGACATGAACACGGCTCTGACACAATTGAGACACGTATCGGACATGAATTAAATAATATTAAAAAAAATGGGGGACATAAGTGCCTTGAATTCAGACACGTGTGTCTTAAATTAATGAATAAAAAATTATCTTAAAAAATATTTTTTAAATTTAAATTAAAAAAAAATATATAATATTTATGAATGATTTGCAAACATACCACTCAATTCTTATGCACTTACATCTCTAACTTCAAATTTTTATTTTTTAAATATTTGCCATCTTAGTATGTATAAAAATTAAAAAGAAATATATCATTTGATTTGATTTATATATTTAGATTTGATATAAGATCTTTGGGTGGCAAAAAAGTAAAAATCAAATTTTAGGTGTAAGATATATAAATACATAATAATTGGATGGTTTGTATGTAAACACCCTAAACTTTACAATAAAAACCTCTCATTTTTTAATTTATTACTCATTACTTATTAGTTATTACTTAATATTTATTAACATTAATCTTTTATTTTTTACTGTTTTGCCTTTTAAGGTTCGAGGTCTACCCAACGATTTCCTTCCTCACTTCTTACTCCTTCCTCTGATTTGCTTCGGCTTCGCAGTCTCGCCATTGAGAGCCTCGCTAGGGCTTTGGCGCTCCAGCTTCACTATTGTTGGGTCGCTACCATTCTTTTCCTCTAATCACCAATACAGTTAAACTTTGATAATATAATTATATTTTTAGTATTTTTTTATTATAACAGCATGTCCGACATGTGCAACATAGATCGCTTCAACATCAGCACAGACACATTTTTTATGTATAATGACCAAGATAGTATGGCAAGAACATGTACTTAAATATAAAAGTTTAGGTTCCATATATGTAAATACATTAGAATTTTTTGTTATACATGCATATAGGGCTGTCAAAACGGCTCGTTGTTTGCGAACAGCTCGTGTTCGGCTCGTTAAGAAGCTCGTATTCGGCTCGTTGATTTCATTCGATAAGTTAACGAGCCGAACACGAACTAAGATGTGTTTGTTCGTGTTCGGCTCGTTTTGGCTCGAAATACTACTCATCAAGTTTATATATACATTGAGTAGTATTTTAAAAAATCTAATTAACTACAAGGCTACAAAGATTTATAATCAATTAAAATATTGATTAAGAAAATAGAATAAAAATTATTAAATTAGATTCAAATGATGTTTTAATATAAATAATAATTTTTAAATCTTACTCAAACCCTTATTGTCTTATGTCTTATGGCTACATTATTAGGGTTGTTAAAAGGACTCTTTGTTCGTGAACAGCTCGTGTTCGGCTCGTTAAGCAAA